GCATAGATTTGATGTAAGTTAGCGCCGATGTATGCTTTTAATCTCGACTTGATCTGAATTTTAATCTTTGACATAAGCTAAGCTCGACTTGATCTGAATTTGATGATCTTACTATTTTGAATCTTGGAGTAGCGTAACTTCATATGACAAAGATGGATTCTGTATCAAATTAGTTCGTCAGACTCTTTAGTACTAATACTACTTAGTTTCAAGATCCTGTAAACTGAATGCATTCTCTGACAGGGCACGCCTCCGTCATTGTCCTTGTGCTCATATTCCTCGGAGGATCCGATGCCAACCCAGCTGCGCGTCGACACGGTCAGCTGGATGTAAACCACAAGAAGAAGCCACTACAGACATCCAGACCTTACAACATTGCCCACAGGGGTTCCAATGGCGAAATACCCGAAGAGACAGCTGTGGCATATTTGGTAACCAGCAAATTACTCATGCAATTATCTGTCCTTCCTTCTATGCTGGATCAGATTTAGATTGATATTTCTAGTGTTACGTCAAATTCAGCTGTATTGATTATTTATGCTTTTTTTTTACATCAGAATTGATTATTTACGCTAATAATCGACAATAACCAAGAAGGTTATAATCTACTTGTTACTATTTATTTATTATATTAATATTATGTACTATTTATTTATATTATATCTCTACTTCTAATGGAGCAGTTGGTAGTCTTCGCCGGTTAAATTTCGTCCCACCTCCCCTGATTTTTTTTGGTACTTCGTCCCACCTCCCGCTTTCCACCGTCTCCCCGCAACTTACCGCCCAACCGGTAAAAAAAACATCAAAATACAACTACGCCCATACTGAACCGCGCCGGTTCACAGATAGAAAAAAGACCTAAAATGATCTAACACGGTTAACCTACGAAATGACAGTTGATCGATCTGAAACAGGACCCCTAGGACCAGAAAATCGTCGTGCCCTCGATGCCATTACGAGTCGCGGTCATTCGTCCACGCCCCTCAAACCCTTGACCGCCGTCACAAACCCTGAAACCCTTGTCCGCCGCCACAAGCGCTCATACCGTAGGTCTCCTTCACAGGGTGAAGTTTTTTCCCGGCGCCGCCGCCGTCCGAGAGGTGGGACGAAAGATCTTCCGGCGCCGATCCGTCACTGTTCAGCGGATCTGCGTGTGATCCAGTCGCCGCCGTAGTGGCGATTGCAAAATCAGGTTGGGCGTTTATGTATTATAACCTTTACAAATACTACTCTTACAAATCTTCGTCTCTGATCGGTACCGTGGTCATACTGCACAAAATCTGACATTGTGATCTCGGATCGGTACCGTGGTCATACTGTGTAAGATTTGAGAACCTGTAATTAAAAAATACATATTCCGTCACCATTCTATGCAGAATTGTAGAATTACAGCTAACTGGATTATATGCCGAGGCCATACCTCTTGCTCTCATTTTATCAGGCCGAAAATCGTGCAGGTCGTGAATCATCTCATTGCCGGTTTCAGTATTGCAAGGAACTCAGTTTTCGTGCACATAACTGACAGGAGTTTGGGGCTGGCGCCGGCCGTCGGGGACGGTGTCATCAGCAGTAGCATCTGGAGGTTAGGTGACATGCAATAGTTAATGTTTCTATGCCAACAGGAAATAGGCAATGTTTCTATGCCTAGGTGAGCATCAGATGGTTGAAAATGATTGAGTCCAACTACAGTCTGGACCTATAAAAGAATAATGCCATCCTCCCAGATGAACCACCGTTTTGAATGGGAAATAAAATCATTCATGAATGTTTGCCAAGGGCATACCTGTTTTACTCTATTTGACAGCCCCAAATGATTGCAGGTGGTGAATCATCTCATTGCTGGTTTAAGTGTAGTCATCAAGTGGCAACAGGCATCTATTTTACCAATAATTTTGCAAGTATCTCAGTGACGGCCCTTGGGGACGGTGTCATCAGCAGCAGCATCTGGCAAGCGCATCGAGTTTGCAGCTCACAACTTCATAGGATCTCCATTTTCCAGCCCCAAAACAGCATCACATGCAAAAAGTGACACAAACATAAGGTAGTTATGACACTTGAATCTAATAGGTTCCATGCAATATTAAACAGTCAAGGTTTATATGTCATCAGGAAATAGCCAAGGGTCTGAACATAGAAAATAATAAGGTAAAAAAACTTGATCCTCCCAGATGAACCACCTGGAGCATTATGTGAAATAAAACCATTCATCAATTTATATACAACGCCGTAACCAACCATTTTTTCATGTTGGTCAGATAGAATTTATGTGGGATTCAATATATAGGCGCCGCGTCCCTTCCCTCAAGATTGGCCTCATGAACTTTCAGTAAGCGCTAATTATAATATGAGATCATCATATGCTTCTTTTTGTAATTCTACTGTTGCAATGTTACTCACATTTGTATTTGTTTGTAGACGGCAGATAATTTTCTTACGTGTACGTGAAGAGCACGTTGGGCCTAACTTCTGGCATTTGCAATGCACTGACAACCTGTTCGAGAAGTTTGCTGTAACTTACATACAGGTAAATCAGAGGCAGCGTTGCTTGCAAACTATGAGGGAGAGCACATTCTTCTTCTCTCCCAACATTAATGATGATCATCATTATCTACAAGGTAGGGGCTGCGTTCTATTTTAAAATTGTTTTCAATATTTTTTTTCTGTAATACTATTTCACTACTATATAAGACTGATTGTTATCGTAGATATCCATGAAGCCAGCCTGACGACACTTGATGAAACATGTGCTTACGTCAATCGTGTTGTTCAAGGTAGGAACAATGGACGTCAGAACTATCACAGTCGAAATTAGAGCATCCTTGAGGGTTTTGGACGACTGACTATGTACTGATGCATATTCAAATGTCGCAAATAAATGGCTTGTACAGTTTTGTTATGGATCGAATTGAGAATTATCATTTTGGCATTATGATTAATGTATTATACATATATATATACCTTCATAATACGCAGTGTTCAGTATTTCGTCTTACGCCGTCGTCCTTTATCCGTCTCTCCCCCACCATTCCTTTTTTCACACAAGCCAGGAAAGGAAACAGCAGACGCACGCAATAGTTTTTTTATTGGAATAACTGACTAAGTCCTCTTCCCCTCGTGCGATCCCAACACAGGCATGATCCTGGGATAACAACACGCGCACCCACGCCTCCGCCGACGCATGTTTGGCCCCATCTGCCCGAGTCCTCTGGTCCATGTTCTCCCTTTCTTATCCCTCCTCCATTTATGCCTTATCGATCCTAACATGATGGTTCGCGAACGGCGCGCATATAAGGATTATGTTGAAGTTGGAATATATACCAAACAATAGTTGCTTCATTTTTACCTTTACGACTTTTACGTTTCTCATGACTATGATCATTATAAACTCTTACTTGATCTTCAAAGACTTGCGGGAATAAAAGGCCAATGTGCGGTGTTTCATGCACTATCATATTGTGACTAGACTCACTACAGCTGTATTTTATTGATCAATTAAACTATAGACATAATTTGCGGGAATATTTCTTTGTAGAAGGCTTTCTATGTGTATCTGTAGAGCTTAACTAGATGTGTCTTAGTTATTCCACGTTCATACGAGGCACTCAAACATAAAACCAAATGAAAACGCTACCCACACCAATTACATGTGATTTAGATGTGCAATATATACTACTTAAAACACATCTAGACGTGCATCGGCAAAAACGAGGTTTTATAACTCAAAATTTTCTCTCCATGGAGATATACCCGTGCGTTAAGAATATGGATCAATGCATGTAAAAGAAGTGGGCTGTAGTATCATAATTCAATTAAGGGTAAAGATATAGATTATTCCACATGGTATAGGTTATATTATGTTATATGTACCCCGTTGCAACACACAGGCGCCTATGGATCATATCATCATGTCTACAGTTTTTGTTATGGCAACTTGTAATTATGGAAGGATATGGACCACCTTCCGAGTACATGACAACGATTACTTAAAGTTTCCAATACAATGTAGTATCCAATCTAACGGTGTGGCCTACCATACGTTCAATGGGTTTCCCATTTTAGCCATTAATTTTCCCTTAGTCGGATTTGCTTATAAGGAAAGTTAAATCCTGCTTGTTCCGATCTGGAAAGGGAGACGTATATAATAGAATTATAATCGGCGTTTATTTATTTGCCCATTGTAGTATGGAATAAGAATAAATGCTTTTCCGTTTAGATGCAAGGTTTTATAATGGATACATGCACGGATGGAATGATATCGGCACCTTCCAATCCAATGCTAATGCCTCACCGACCTTTTAGAAGGACAAGTCCCCTCCGACTATCATATATATGGCCCGACTGTGAGTCCACCATTGTCTAATGCCCCCTCGCTCGCTCATCCTGGTGCTAAGATGACTTTCTGCCCGCGGTAATGGCTGCAATGCCGATTTTTGATGGAGTGGATGACGCAGTCGAGTACATCTACAACTACGTCATGGATTCCTCAGACGAGGAGGAATTAGAGTTTGTTCTGGCAGCGCTAAACTTCATCTATACTTTAATTGCAATTGTTAGCTGCAGATCACTACCATTATAATTTGTTGCATGCATTTACTGAAAGTTCATGCTATCCTTTCTAAATACATAAGGTTCTTAAGATCTAACGTAGTGGTTGCAAATAAATGGCCATGTTGTAATATTATCCTTTTACATTACCCCATTATAGGACCATCCACCCCACGTTATTTTAAAGTACAATATTTTTATGAACGGTAGTACATTGCAACGCGTACTGTTGCATGATACATGTGCCATCTACACATTAGTTCATAACTGTAATACTATAGCAATACATTGCATCCGAACATGTCAGGATATATTTGGTTATCTCAATAAATAGTACTCCTATCCTGAATTGACACTACGATTCCAATTAGAATATACATACATTTCAGACCTTACTAAAGTTTGGAAAAAAATGTACTATTATTTGCCCACACATTGAAGTATTACATTATTTTGATACCCTTATTTTTCTAACAGATTTGCTATCATGCTGTCTTGTTTGCAGCACAATATGGATAAGGAGCCCTCGTCCATTCGTTATCGAGTTAAGCCTACGGACTATCCAAGACACCATGCGAGGTGATACATGGGTCAATCCGAACTGCTTCGATCTTGCAGTGCGTAAGCTTACTAGCGACGCGATACAGAGGAATGCAGGAACAGACTTTGTTGGCTCCACGCATACGTTTGATTTGCGATTCCATCGCCTAGCACGGGTGCTGATTCAGACTGGCTTAGGCCAAGCTGAACGCACCAACTTGTTGATTAACAATGTCATTGTACGGCCTTTGCCGAAATACGACATGCTCATGACCCCGTCCATTGTAAGGATTTACATTCTTAACAATTGGTTTGTATACTATCTGTTCACCATTAACTTTGTATA